AATTGTATGCTCCCCGGATATTGCAATAAGGTTTTGTAACTTTTGGAGACTTTCTTTCTGTGGGTTTCAGGTGTAATATTATAAAATGGTTTAGCGTTAGCTCGCAGTGCATATAGACAGCTACAATCAAGATTGAGCAAATCTCTCTCACCGTTTTAAAAGGTCTGCATTTCACTGCCAGATATTCCAAATCGGGGGAACAATGTGTTCCAATGATGGCCGTAGCTGTGCACCAGAAGTTGTGGATGTACAGTGCCAGACCTCCACCTCCTCTATTTAGCAGATGCTGCAGTCCTGTCTGCTCGAAACAAGGAGCGTCCCTCCAGCTCCACCACAGCATCCGGGATGTTGTCATCCAACCAAGTTTCAGTTATAATTGCCACACAGCTGTCCATCCTCCGTGAGACGATCCACAGCCGAATCTCATCCATTTTGCTGGTTATTGACCTGGCGTTTGTAAGGAAGAGACTAGGGAGCGCCGGCCTGTGTGGGTTAGCATGTAGCCTAGCACGCAGGCCACTTCTCTTGCCCCTCTTTTGTTTACGATGTCGTCTCCGTTTCCTTGGCCAAAAAGGGGGGATGGTGAGAGCCGTAGTGGTCCGGTGTAACTCTGGTGGAATAAAGTCCGGCTTCGTGGGTGCGTAAAGTTCGTATTGTTTTCCCTATTGTAAGTAGTTCAGCTCTTCCATACTGGATGGTAGCTAGAAAACTGTAGTGACAACAAAACACGAAAGACACAAAAAAGATACGAATAGAGAAACAAAAAGCCAAGAGCCCCGAGCCGCTGCGTACCTATGCCCGCCATCTTGGGTCCTTCAAACAGGTGCAATGAGTAGAGGATAGGAGGGTTTCTTAAAGACAAACTAACAGGTCTGTGAGAGCCAGAATTCTTGCTGGTTGGTAGGTGATCAAATACTTACTTCATGCAATAAAATGGAAATAAATTATTTAAAAATCTAACAATGTGATTTACTGGAATTTTTTTGTAGATTCTGTTTCTCACAGTTGAGGTGTACCTACGATGAAAATTACAGAACTGTCCATTCTCTGTAAGTGGGAAAACTTGAAAAATTGGCAGTGTATCAAATACTTATTTGCCCCACTGTACATATCCCCATGCAATGGGGATATGTACATACATAATCAATTGCTTCCTGCAACCATCAATGAGTTTCTTACATATGTACTGGAATTTTTGGACCACTCTTCCTTTGCCAACTGCTCCAGGTCTCAGATTTGAAGAGTTCCTTCTCCTAACTGCTGTTTTGAGATCTCTCCACAAGTGCTCTATGGGATTTAGATTTGGACTCATTACTGGCCAGCCACCCAGTTTCTGGGTGCTTTCTGACATATGCTTTGGGTCATTGTTCTGCTGTAAGACCCATGACCTCTGATGGAGACCCAACTCTCTGACACTGGGCCGCCCCTATTGCACCCCAGAATTCATTGGTAGTCTTCAGATTTTATAATGCCATATACACAGTTAAGACATCCAGTGCCTGAAGCAGCAAAGAAACCCCAAAACATCAGTGAACCTCCACCATGTCTGACTGTAGGGACAGTGTTCTTTTCTTTGAAAACCATATTTTTTTATCGGAAAACAGTAGAATAATGCATTCTATCAAAAAAGCTTTATTTATTAATTTTATTTCATCTGTCTAAGGGATGTTTTCCCAGAAGGAGTGTGGCTTCCTCAGGTAAGTTTTGGAAAACTTCAATCTGGCTTTTTTATATTTCTGTGACAGCAGTGGGGTTCCTCTGGATCTCCTACCATAGTGTCCCTTGTCATTCAGATGGTGTCAGATAGTGTGAGCTGACACTGTTGCACTCTGTGCCTGTCGGTCAGATTGAATTTGTTTGGAAGTTGATCCAGGGCTCTTTAACCACCCATGGTGACCTAGCCCAATTAAAAGTGAGCCAGTTTCATGGTGCCAGACTTGACCTGAGCTGAGAGTTAGCTGGATAAGCCACTAATCTTGCTTCATGGTAAATACCCCTGGTCACAGCACTTCAAATACACACACATGCACATTCAGTACTAATTAACTAGAATTAACATTCGGTGCATAATTAATTAGATTGGAACTTTTCAGAAAAAGGAGGAAAACCATTTATGAACTACACAAAATAATATATAAAAGTATTGGATGTAATTTGTATTTCATATTTCAATAAAGCTTAAGTGAAAGTTCATTAAGGAAGATCTCTTCCCTCACATTATACTTGTCCATAGTGGGTTGGCATGGGCTATTAATTTTGGATCAATTTCTCTCCATCATCTACATTAAAATTGCTGTCAAATCTCCCTCCACCTTATATCCTGATGTCCCCTTATCTGATCAGTGATTCTTTCTGCCTGTGTTGCTCGAGCCAATCAGTCATTCATCCATTATCTATACTGGTTATCCTGAAGAGGGTCACAGAGGGGTTGTACATTTCTGATGAGTAGTCACCAACTGTGTTAATCTTGTTTGTTTGGTGATGCTTTGCTTTGCTTTTCTCTCTCCTCTATGAGCTCACCCCAACTCGTTGAGACAGTACAACCACTAACCAAGAGCCAGGGTCTGTTTGGAGGTTTCCTCCGTTAAAGGGAGTTTTTCCTCCCCACTGACACCAATTTGCTCAAGAGCGATTTTTGGGGGGTTTCTCTCTATAAGGTCTCTCTGTAAGGTCTATACCTTACTATGCCCTGAAGATTTTCATTATGATTTGGTGTTATACAAATAAAGTGAATTGAATTGCTCCACACCAGCACAGATAATCCAATCTTCATGTGGGCCAACGCCTAATGAAGAAGGTTCACATTGCAGGAGTGTAATTGCCAAAATAAATTATCTGTGTTGGTCAACACAGTAAATTTGGTTATTCTCTTCCATTTGATCTCTCCTATATTAGTAAAAACATGTTTAAATGGCATGAGTGTAATGCAACAGAACAAAAATATGTAACAAACCTTTTAAAGCAGTAATATCTTGTATTAGACTATAAAATGATTATTCCTCCCTTGTATTAAAATCACATGACCAATACAAAACATTTATATAGAATATTGGTTGCATT